TAAGTGACCCAAATTGCATCAAAATCGGAGATTGTCACCTACGAAAGTGGCCCCGTAGGCATGGAATGCCCCTTAGTATTTTTTCAATTAAATTGTTATTCTATCTCTAAGGTTTGCAGTAGGGTAAGGCTGGTAGGCCTACCGGAGCTGCACCCACTCCTCCCCACAAGAGATCTACCAGCCATTGCCGTACCAGGCCCAATTTGTAGCTGCTGCTGTGCCAGCTCCAGGTGCCGTGCCAGTTCAAGATCCTGTGCCAGCTCAAGCACCTATGCCAGCTCAAGCAACCATGCCAGCTCAAGCACCCATGCCAGCGCAAGCTCTTCAGCCTGGCCAAGGTGCAGATCCTGCAGGTGCAATGAGCCGGATGGCATTCTCATTTGTGGACATCCTGTCTGCATAGATCGCGTTCAAAGGTTGCTGGATGATGAGGACGAGTGTCCACTGGACAGCAGTGGTAGTGGACTGCCCCCAGGCGGGTGAACTGACAGCGTGACGACGCTATCAATTACCCAACTGAATCCGAATCTGATTGCTCCTGATATTAGAACTGGAACCGAGCCTTCGGGCGGGAGGCATATACACCTGAAACTTAAAGGTCCAACCTAACCTAACCAAACCTAACGGACTTGCGATAGATCTTGCCCCACTCGCGACAGATCATACCCTAACGCGACATATCTTCAGTTCTTACTGCAAAGATCTTACTTCACGTGACAATTTCTTAGTCTTACGCGGCTGATCTTGCGTTTCTCGTGACAGATCCTACTCTAACGTGGAAGATCTTGCACTCTCGTGACGAGTTCTTACCCTCATGCAGCTGATTTTACGCTACTCGTGACAGATCATAGCCTGACTAAACAAATCTCTACCGCCAATCGCCAATCCCGCAAAGTGGTTCACTCAAGGCATCACCTTACTCCAAACGTTAGAGATAAAATATACGATAATATACGTACGATGATATAAAAATAAACGAAAGTCAATTAATTTCACAACACACATACTTTTTTTCCTCAAGTAAAGCACTGTCGACAGGCATTAAACATACACTACAAACCTAACTGTCTACTGAGTATACACTTACAAGGTAGGTTTCGCCAGACCGCGTCTTGTCGTAACAGGCTTCGCGATGTCTCGCTGCTTGTTCCTCCAATCCGCGCCTGGCGTACCTACCTTGGCGTGCGGCGCTAGCCTGCCTTCGGCAGGCATTGTCTTGTCCGTCGTCCGTTACTTCTTACCTGTTGCAAGCTGGGGGGCTCCGCCCCCCAGATCCCCTGTCTTCAAGACACAAGTGATCTGCCTGCAGAAAACTCGATTTTTCGCCGTTTTTTATATGCTTTTCAGCTATAAAAACTGAACCAGTTGAGCTAGGATAGTGAAATTGCGCGTGTGCCGAGCCAAAAACATACCTTATAAGCCTGCAAAATCTCAGCCA